TATTTTTATCTTTGGTTTAATTTGAAGCATGAAACAAAAAATAAAAATGCACAAACTGTTTCTTGGAATCATCTCAGTAAATAATCTGTTTGTTTTAATTCTTCTGATTTTCAAAACAAAATGTTTCAGCTGAAAGTTCTCAGGATTATCTGTAATAATCTGAGTTTAGTTTCTGCTTCTTTAACTCTTCGTTTCCCAACAATGTTTTGGGATTTTTGTTTTGTTTTGAAAGTCTAGCCGCTCTCATCAGGTTTAGATTAGTTTCTTGTCAGACTTTTATTTTGAAAGGCTCCTTTTTTTCATGGCTCTGTGGTTTTGGTCTTTAAAAACATCTTGATTTCATTTTTTTTTTTACTAAAACCTGTAATTTTACAGCAGAGTTTAAAACTAGGAACACTTTCTGACAAAGTTTTAATAGTTTTGGTGAAAACTTGTAAATAATAAATAAGACGCTTTGGTGTTCGAATGTCTGCTTTTAACGACTCTCAGCTACTACCACTTTAAACTGTGGCTCGTTGTCTGTGAACCTGACTTCATTAAAGCTGTTCAGGTGGTGGTTACAGCGGCCATCTTGATGTTTAGGTGTGCAGAAGATGTGAGGAATAAATAAAAAGCTTTTACCTCCATCTGCTGTCGTCTGTGCAGAGCTGCAGCTGGTCATTCAGCTCTGCAGCTTCCCGCCTGTTTCTGCAGTGTTTATTGTAAACCAGGGCTATTCAACTGGCGGCCCGCGGGCCACAACCGGCTCGCGAGTGACCAAAGTTCGACCCGCCAATTGGTTCATTCATCTCTTAAACCCAAACCCCCAGTTTTCTACTTTAATCACTCTTAGTTCTTTTAGTTAAACACAGACATGTTTGGTGTCCACAGAAACATCAGAACTTTGGCCAAAAGTTGGTAAAAACATTTTCTATAAACACTCAAGACAGTTAAAACTTTAAGCAGTTGAAGATAAAATGATGAAAGTAAATTGGTTTAAAAATTTGGCAAGTCAGAGATGTTAAAATATTATTTGTGTCTAATAATAGGAGGCAAAATGTTTTTGATAATGTGTAATTATCACTATATTTATAGGGTTCTGCATGTTGTATTCATGATTAAATGCAGCAAAATAAACTAATTAAAAGGTAACAGATCTTTGTAAAGCTTGGTTTATTTACATAATGACTTTAACTGCTGGATATTCAGCCCCTCAGCTGTTGACCGTCAGTAACTGTGGCCCCTGGAGAAATGTAGTTGAATAGGCCTGTTGTAAACCTGCTGCCTGATGCAACACATCCTGACGCCACGAGAAGACCTGAACAGAACCTGAACAGAACCTGAACAGAACCTGAACAGAACCTTGAACAGAACCTGAACAGAACCTTTAACAGAACCTGAACAGAACCTGAACAGAACCTGAACAGAACCTGAACAGAACCTGAACAGAACCTGAACAGAACCTTTAACAGAACCTGAACAGAACCTTTAACAGAACCTGAACAGAACCTTTAACAGAACCTGAACAGAACCTTTAACAGAACCTTTAACA